CCCCCCTAATAGGAGAAAGAAGAGTCACGAGAGTAACTGAGAAAATTTTCTGTTTTTTCGGCTTTGCTTCTTGGCGAGAGGTATTAATAAGGGATTGAGGTCATTAATGGAGTACTCAATAGGAATTAAATTAATACAAGAGTCAAGTGTCCAACATTCAAAACAAATCTAAAAACGTCGACTGATCTCCTTACTATCACTCTTTATACATATATAGGACGGTTAGTAAGATGCTAGTTGCATTAAGAAAGTCTAATATACTGCATAATAGGCCGTCGAGTAATCTATTCATCTATTGTCCTGATAAATATGTGTGTATGTTTGTGAGGCACGCTGATGTTTAATTACAAGGAAAAGTATTGTACCTCATAATAGGCATGCTTGACTGTAAGAAGTATATCCACTAATTAACGTCATAAGAAGAAGAAACGACACACTCAAGTGTTAAGCGACAAGTCGTTTGGGTGAAGATTAGACTTTACACAAGAGAGAGAGAAAGAGATGATCACACGAGAGAGAAGACACGTGGAGATAGTTTATTAGAAGATCCCATGTGTAAATCACCGACTCTATGACTTTCTTTATATATTTCTATTAGGGTTTTATTTCAGAGATGATCGAGGTTTGTAGAGAGAGAAAGAGAAATATTCCTTGAGTGAGAAAGGCAAGGGTTTTGGTTGTATGTGGACGTTTGATTGATGGATTCAGAATCATAATTCAAAACCATTTTTGATTTACGTGTAGCTAATCACGAACTATGATTCGAATCATGGCATGGATCTAGTGACCAAACAACCCATGAGAGTTTTGTAACAGTGTTTGGGGCTTGGGAAATTCTAGGTAGTTAAGGGCTATTCTACTCACCGGGCATTTTCTCTATCAAACTTGGTAAATTCTCTGTAAATCTTGTTTTTCTCTGGGTTAGGGTTTTCTAAGTGATTTGAGAGTTTTATGATCTTGAGTGTATAATCATCTTCTTGATTAGTGAAAAGAGCTTCTCGTGGAAGAGCTCAATAGAATAGGTCAATTTGGACAGAACCTGGATACAAATCTTATGTTGTTTGTTGCGTGATCAAGCCCCTAAATCTTCATAAAGATTGAGTCTTGTGTTAGAATTGGTCTACCATTGACAATAATAATTGATTAAAGAACCAACAAATTTTGTGTTCAAATTTTTGCTATTTGAAGCAGTTGAGGCATGTAGGAAGCTTTGAGACTTATGATGTACTATTAATTAGTTAAAATCGAGTGTTCTGAACGGGATGGGGAAAAAAACACACAAATTATATAAGTTACATAATTAATTTTATACGAAATCAACCACCTAAAGTGCAATCATTAACAAGATCACATATTTGTCCCTGAATATGTGAACCAATGCTCTTGGACATTGAATTATGTATTCGTCACTACAACTCGTAGGGCCGATGGGCATGAGTCCCACGTATGTTTCTGATAAGCCCTCCAAGTTTATAAAAGAAAGCATTACGAAAACCATATATAATACGAAAGCAATATATATAATTTTTTTACTCGCTCTTGGAAGCCAACACAGAACAATAAAAATGAAAAACACATCAAGAGAAAGAATCAGATAGAAACATGATTAGGAAACTGCCCAACGAAAATATTAATTCAAATGAAAACACACATATTCCACGTTACATGCAAGCATGCATGATGATAATCATATCACCATTTCCCTCAGTAAGCACTACTTGGACGATAGCTTCTTTGACCGAGCCCCGAAGAACCGCCGCCGTAACTAGCTTCGCCTGGAATCATGACCGGCTTCTTCTTCTTCTTAGAGAGGCAAAAGAATCCGACGAGTAGGAAAGCCAGAAAGAAAGCGCCTCCTAGACACGGCAATAACAGTGGTGTGGTTATTACCTCCCGGAGGCGGTGCTGCCATCTGGGACGACGGTGGGATGACGGTAGTAGGCGATGGTGGCCCGTAAGTCAACTGAGGCGCCGGTAATGGAGGCGAGACGCCAGGGCAAGGAGTGCTTGGACGTGGGGGTTTGGAATATGATTTTGGCGGTTGAGCCGGCAGAGCACTTTTGCTAGGCTTTGGTGGGTATGTGGACTCAGTCGGCGGAGCCTTATACGGAGGCTGTGCTTTTGGTGGTTTGGATTTTGGTGGTTTTTGTTTGTAAGGAGTTGGTGGATACGTTGGTGGTATCTTTGGAGGTGAATATTGTGGTGGTGGTACTTTTGGTAGTGATTTTGTCGGGTAGTTGTCGCTCGGAGGCGACACCGCTACAACCGGCGGAGATTCAGTTGGCGGCTTCGGATAGTAACCCCGGTGGTCTGACGTCAAAGGGGGTTGTCGATAGGCATCCTGAGGTGGCGGCGGTGGAGGAACTGGCGGAGAGGGAGAGTAGTGAGGCATATTTGTACAAGTGCAAATGTTATTAGATTGAGTCACAATTAGATATTAATGAGTCAATTATAGAAGACGGATATATATAGGAGAATATAACGGTACTGTGGGATCCTTCATATGTCAGTGGGTGTTATTTATACTATTTGAAAGCCTCCATATGTCATTATAGGGCCCCAATTTTTTATTTTTCCAAGAATGATTATACTGATTTCACTTGCTCTTTTTGGACGCTTTCGACGAGAATAACAAGCAATATAAACATGTTAGCATGATAATATCTTAAGGAGAATTTCAATTTCCAACTCTCCATCTACTTCTTTAAAAAATGAAAAGCACCACTAAGAAATGTTACACGTATACTAGTTGGAATATAAACCCTCCCCTTATTATTAAATTGTTTTAGAACTAACATTTAATTTGTTGTCGAAACTGACAATCATATTTTGATTTTCTTTGACGACAGTTCCTCCCAGCTGTCAAGGGTTAGATTCAACTTTACCCAAATAAGATATTCTAATTGTCAAACAAGCATAAAAAGTACTGAATGTCCTTACATGACCAAATGAAACGTCGTTAGAATAATGAAAAATTTTATCTGTATTTATCCTTATCCAATATAAATTGTGAATTATTGCATACAATAATGTGGATGATGTCGTGTGTCTGTGTGTGTATATATATATATATATATATATATTGTATCGTGAAATTGAAATATGACAACCACATGAGAATTAGTTGCTTTAACCATTAAAACAATTGTACATTCAGCTGCATTCAGCAAGACTTTACAGCACATAATCTGAGAAAAAACAATAGATCCCGCAGTAGGTAAAACTGGCGGCTATACATGGATCACAACAAAAACACAAAACCAACAAGAAACTACTAAAAGTGATGTAGGAAATTCTGGCTATATTAGTCGTTATTTTTAGTTGCATTGTCGTTTATCCACTTAGCTTTAATTTTATTATTAGTTTATCGCTATTTGTCTAGTTTGTCCTATGTCTTAGTAACTATCTTGTTATCATTTTGTAAATGGGTTATATAGGGAGACACTTTGAATATATTGATAATTGAATTAGAGTTAGAGTTTTCTCTTTAATTTGAGAATTTTCCCCTTTGTGGGATTTCTTTTAAGTGAATTTGAAAATTCTCTGCGCCGATAAAATTCCGTTCTATCAATTCTGTTACATCAGTTGGTATCAAAGCTCTTGATTTTTTCTCGGGGTTTGACATCATGATCAGTGATTGGAGCCACTTGAACGCCGATGAGTGTGAAGTTTCATACTATCGGAGAAGTTACTCTTGTCGGTGGAGTGCCCACCAACAGCCGCCTTCTCCACCACGTTACCGCCACCACCATGACTATTCTCCACCACCCCACTACCACCATGACCACCATCGTCACCAAAACCACCACTGTACTTGTTATACCAGCAGCCATCATCACCTGCATCTTCACCATATTCCTCACCGTATCTCCTCCACCGCGAGTATTCCAATCACAAATTTACTTGGTTCGGGAAAATTCCCTACATCAACGGTAGGACCAGCTCTCTTCACTATGATCAATGAATTACAGATTACAGCCACAAACCCCCCTCTCTGAGAAGTTTCCTAAAAAAATCTTTACCATTCTCGTTCACTCTTGCTCTGAGAAAACCCTTATAAGAAGAAAGAATTCACACTCAGATAGAATTACAAGATACAAAATTAATCTTTTAACGGCTATTTATATTTGAATTACAACTGTATATGCCAACACTCTAATCCCATGTATCTAATACAACACATAAATACCCATGCTAACCAATTGACTGTTATAGACTTTAGTTACTCTGCAGGCCTTGACTGATTCTACCACATGTCAATTGCTTAATCATAAATCCCACAATACTTTGATTCACTGTATAACAACAAACGTAATAGAGAAATACTATTTGTCCAATGGGACTTCATGATCCTGCTCTCTCACAGAGAGTGGGCTCCATCCGTGCGTCCCACATGGATCCTACATGTGGGGCCCACTCTTTGTGAGAGGGTAAGTAGTTGTTTTTTTATATTTTTATTGTCGTTGTTTTAACTTACTAATTTAGCTTTATTTTGTTTAGTGGTTATCTTTTTGCTTATTGTAATAGTAAGATTTGAATATTTTGAGAATTGAATTACAAAGTTTAGTTTTTTCTCCGTTTTGGGGGGTTTTTTTTTTTTTTTTTTTTCCCTTGTGAGGTTCCTTTAAGTAGATTTGGGATTTTATAGCATGTCTTTTGTTCGGATTAAGCTGGTAAAATTTTGTTCTATTCTTTCCGTTGTATCATATACACACGCTTTAATATTAGGATATTATGCCCTTTCAAATAAAAATACTAATTGGAACGATTAACAAATTAAACAATTTCATAGCACTAAAACCTCAGAAAAGCTGGTAAATCAATTGTGGACTTTATGTTTATGTTGTTGACTTCAATACGTTTCTTTATTGCTAAAGAACAAATTAAGGAGCAATTTATTAAATAAAAGTCAATTGAGCTAACACCAATTTTTACAAGGTCTGTAAGTTGCTTTAAATATATTGAGTTTTAGGTTTCCGCCGGAGACAATTAAAAAATTAATTCAACAAGGATACAAAATGATTTATATTGTTATAATTAAAATTTTCTTTTAATACCGGAGAAACTATTCTAGGTACGTATATGTGTGTGGACGTAATTTTGTTGTTTTTCTTCCTTATTAACAAATTTATCAAGTGTGGACGCATTTTTTTCCTTTGATTTACACCAAACATTAATTAGTTGTACGAATCAGATATTAGAAAATTACTTAATTGGAAGATATATGCTAAAAAATCACCATTAATTAGAAAAAAAAAAATTCTCGCCACTCCTCAAATACTTCCAATTTCACGAATAGTTTTTTGGAACTCAACATGTCGATTATGAATTTCTGACCACGCTATGAAAAGAAAAAACCCCCCGAATAGTTATAGTTTATGAATCATTAGATTCTATCACATTTATAATTTTTTATTCTAATATTATTCCCGCTAAAATATGTCCATATAGTGTTATATTCTCCGTAGAATAAGGAATACATAATTTATAGATTTTTTTTTTTTTTGCTTTAAATCTTCTCTCTAGACGACAATGTTGTTGTAATAAGTTTTTAATTAAAAAATTAATCATGTTAATAGTTTAAGAAATGGATCCAGAAACAAATGTTTGCATCACCCACCTCAACGCGCTAGCTTCATGAGGTGAAACTCTACTTTCCCATTGTCCAATCAACAACTCGAAAAAGAAAAGTGCACAAATAAAAATAATTTAATAAATAAGCAATGCTCTTTTTTTAAAAAAAAAAAAAAAAGAAAAATCCAAATTTTAGAAACATCCATACTTACTTCCAACATGTGTTCGTCACTATTTCTTTATTGATGCATACAGCTGCACATAACTCCAAACTTCACATTACAAGCATTTCCTTCTTTATTTCTTTCTTTAAAAAAAAAAAAAAAAAATTCTCTCTTCCACTTCTTTGGAATTAAGGCAGTAATTTCCTCCTTCAGCCCCTTGGTACACACAACAATACCGACCAATATATCAATGACACAATAGAAAGAATCATGAGATATAGTAATTACTTCATGATCATCCCCAACAAAACTTATTATAAACCCAGCCCCAACGAATCAAATCCAATGAAAACACACAATAATTCCCGAATAGAATACATAAATGTACGCGCATTATTAATTATTTTAGGAAACACATGCATGCATGATGAGTCAGTCACGATGATCAAATATTTGACTCATCAGTAACTACTCCGATGATGGCTTGAGCCATCTATCGAAGATCCGCTGCTACCAGGCTCACAGGGCTCCCCTCCGGTGACGGCGACGGCTGCGGCGGCGTCTCCATGAGAGCTTCCATGACCGCTAATACTCTGCGAACCGTAACCTCCGACCGCGGCGGCTGCTCCTCCGTAGCTTTCTTCACCTTCCTCGACGCAAGGAACCGCCGCGGGAACCATCACTGGCTTCTTCTTCTTCTTGGCGAGGCAGAAGAGTCCAACGAGGAGAAAAGCGAGGAAGAAAGCGCCGCCTACAGAAACACAAACAGCAATGACGGTAGTGTGGTTGTTGCCTCCCGAAGGCGGCGCCACTATGTCGTTCGACGGAGGGACCGCGCCGATTGTTGGCGGAGGAGGTCTGAACGTGGGCGGGGCAGGTGCATAGCCGTAGAAGGATGGCGGCGGTGCTGGGGGTGAGCTGCCGTAAGATGTTGGAGGAGGTTTGGAATACGGTTTCGGTGGTTGAGCTGGTGGAGTTCCCTTGCTAGGCTTTGGAGGGTGTCCGGACTTTGGCGGCGGTACCTTGTACGGAGGTTGTGCTTTGGGTGGTGATGTCTTTGGGGGTTGTGGTTTGTAGGGAGTTGGTGGATGTGCTTTTGGAGGTGATGACGTCGGTGGTTGTGGCTTGTAAGGAGTTGGGGGATGTGCTGGCGGTGTTGTTTTTGGGGGCGATTGCGGCGGCGACGCCTTGTACGGAGGTTGTGCTTTTGGAGGTGATGATTTTGGTGGCTGTGGTTTGTAAGGTGTTGGTGGAGGTGTTGGTGGATGAGCTGGTGTTGTTGTCTTTGGAGGTGATTTTGGTGGCGGAGGATAGTGGGGAGAGTATGGATGTGGTGGTGGAGCGGAACCTTCAGGAGGGTTTGGCGGGTAAGTGTGTTTTGGTGGCGGCGCTGCGGCAACAGCTGGTGGGGATGCAGTTGGTGGCTGAGGATAGTAATGGTGGTGGTCTGGGGGTGGAGGTGGTTTTGTGTAGACATTTTGAGGTGCCGGAGGAGGCTTTGGATAGGAGTGGTGGTGGTCGGGTGTTGGTGGGGGAGGCGGTGACTGATCATTACATGGTGGCTTAGGGTAGACATGGTGGTGGGGAGGAGGCGGTAGCGGCGTGGAAGGAGGAGGAGGAGAATGATAGGTGTATTGGTGATCAGGTGTTGGTGGAGAACATGATTGATCAGGTGGCGGCTTGGGGTAGACATGGTGATGATGAGGGGGCGGCGGAGGCGGTGGAGGAGATGGATAGATGTGGTGGTGATCTGGCGTCGGTGGAGGTTGTGCCTTAGGGTAGTCATGGTGATGGTCTTTAGGTGGCGGCGGTGACTTGTGATGGTGGTGGTGGTGGTGGTGGTGATGGTGTGGCGGCAAGGGTTTCGGGTAGTGCTGGTGGTGGTGAGGTGGCGGTAGAGGCGGAGGTGGCAGCTGCACAGGGTGATCGTCACATGGAGGAGGAGGAGGTGGCGGCTCCACGGGATTACATGGCGTAGGAGGGGATGGCACTGGTGGTGGAGGGGGAGAGTAGTAAGGATAGCCGTAAGTCATTTTACTATGCAACTTTTAGAGAGTGAAGAACAATTGGAGAACTAATTAGTATGGAAGATTTATGGATATAGGAATATATGACTTTAGGGAGGCTGAGACCAAAGCCATGAAGTGAGGTGCTATTTGTACTAGTTGGAAAAGTATTCTAAGTTTCTAATCCTTCAAATTATTAAGCAGCCTTCATACATCTTGGGCCCCAATTAATCTATTCTTTCAAGGAAGACGATAATTGTACCCGTTCTTATTGTTTAAAGTTTCTGTCGAGTTGTCATATGCATTAACAAAACAAATAAAGACAAATTATAAAGAATCTCACTGTTGGGAATACAATAATCATTATTGTTCATGTCCTTAACTGTTTTGCACGCACCCTTTACATTTAATTATACATGATTGGGTTTTGGTCTACAAGGGCAGCTATATATGTAACCTTTGAACTTTGAATAATTATCATGTATACAGTGTGATAAGCACGTGATAAATTTCTCGGTTAAAACTTGGAACAACATGTAGCTATCATGGGAGGCGTGGGTTTTTTTTTTTTTTTTTGTTCATTTATTTTTTAAAATGAATGTTGCGCGACTTTGTTCTGTCATCTTGGTAATTATAATTAATTATAACAACAAATTGCAATAAAACTAGTCAATTAAAGAAATGTTTTTCACCCAACGACCCCTTTTTTTCGCAAGGATATGACTTTCATACTTTTTTTTTTGGGTAGAAACAAGTTTGTTGGTTTTTCACTACACGAAACCTAATGTTCATACGTCTAATTAGGGTACGTCCCATGTGATTTAAGAATCAGTGTCAAGTAAACTCTATTTTGAAATTTCTCTTCAAACAGGTAGACAATAATTTGGCCCCATTTGTACACAGAGATAGAGACAAAATTACAAGGGGAAAAAAAAGTTAATTGAAGAGGGAAAAAAAGACCAACTATAGGGAAGTACGTACTTTTTTCTAATAAACGGGAAAAAAATAAAAATAAAAACTTTGGTCCTTGAGGTTGCGAATACTCAAGAATAATCCAATTCTCTGCTCCAGTTCCAATGCGATTGGTCCTAGCAGGATGGTTCCGATTTATCTCAATTTCTTTCTTTTCCCGCTTTTGTGACACGTTTTACAAATTGGCTAATTTATTGCCCTAATTTTTTTTCTCTGGAATTTATTGTCAATTTCATTGTTAATTGTTGTTACCGAGTCCTCTCTATAATATATCACTACAATAATTTTAATTTTTTACTACCAAAAATTTTGCTACTACAATTTTTTCGGTAGCAAAAGTTATCTTTTGGTTTGTAAAAGTTATCTTTTGCTATCGAAAAAATGTTAGTAGCAAAATGTTGACGAATTTCTACTATTAAATTGGTAGCAAAAAGTGACGATTCTGCTACAACAAAATTTTTAATAGCAAAAAATATAGCGCCAAATGAAAGTGAGTTAGTGCCAAAGCTTTTTGGCTACCCAAAAAAATTTAATAGTTAATAAGTATGTTTCTGCTACTAAAATTTTGGTATCAAAAATACATAATCTATACTACCAAAAATCATTTGGTAGCAGAAAATATGGCGCCAAACAAAAATGGGTTGGCGCCAAGAGTTTGTGGCTACCAAAAAAATAGTAGCAAATATGTATGTTTCTGCTACCTAAATTTTAGTATCAAAGGCACATTTTTAGCTACCTAAATTAGTTGGTAGCAAAAAACACTGTGCTAAACGGAAATGATTTGGCGCCAAGATTTTTTTGCTACCAAAAAAAATTTAGTAGCAAATCACTATGATTTTCCTACCAAAATTTTGGACTCAAAAACATATTTGTTTTGCTACCAAAATCAGTTAGTAGCAAGAGATATGATGCCAAACATAAATGGGATTGACGTCAAGAGTTTTTAGCTACCAAAAAAGAATTGGTAGCAAATCAGTATACTTTTACTACCAAAATTTTGGTCTCGAAAACATTATTTTTTGTTACCAAAATCAATTAGTAGCTAAAAATATGACGCCAAACAAAAATGTTTTGGCGCCAAGACTTTTATGCTACTAAAAAAAACTTAGTAGCAAATCGGTATGTTTTTACTACTAAAATTTTGGTCTCAAAAACATTTTTTTTTACTACTAAATTCAGTTGGTAGCTAAAAACATGGCGCCAAGACTTTTTAACTACTAAAAAAAATTTAGTAGCAATTCAGTATGTTTTTGCGTACATGTTATAACTAATTAATGGACACATTTATCTTTTGCTACCAAAAATTTTCATTTTGGTAGCAAAAAATACTTTTGGCTACTAAAAATTTAGTAGCCGAATGTTGACGCGTTCTGCTACCAAATTTAGTAGCCAAAAGAAACAATTTCGCTGCCAAAGATTGTTCATTTGGTAGTGGAAAACAGCTTTTTTGCTACTAAATAACATATTTGACAGCAAAAAGTCTTTAAATCATAGTTTTCAATATTTGCTTATTTTTTTGTTATTTTTATTTTTCATATCATGATTAATTGGAAATAACTTATTTAACTCAACTAAATAAATATTGCGAGTCCAATTGATTTACATTTTATTAAGTAGTATACTTATATTTTGTAAATAAATTGCGTTCTAACTAGTTAGCGTATATATGTGTATATGATGCATAGTATACAATGGTATGAAGTAGTCATATTTATATATACATGCATATATATACGAGATTAATCATAATTTTTCTTTTCAATTATACGATAATATAAAGGAGATGATTTTCATGCATATGTCGCACAATAAAGATAGTGGTAAAATATATTTTTAAAAGAAAATAATATTTACTATTCAAAATTGTCTAGTCAATTTTCAGCTATCAAAAGTAAATTTAGTAGTTAAATATGGTGTTTTGCTACCAAAATTTAGTATCCGAATATGATATTTTACTACAAAAGTTGTTGATTTTGTAGAGAAAATAGTTTTTTTGCTACCAAATAACATATTTGGTAGCAAAATGGTTTTTAAAATGTAATTTTTAATATTTGCTTATTTTTTTATTATATGAATAAGTGAAAACAACTTTAATACTACAAAAATAAATATTATAAGATAGAATGATTTACATTTTAATAAAAATTATAATTATATTTTGTAAGTAAATTGCATTCTAACTAATTAGTGTACATATGTTTCTATGATGCACGACATACATGTTATGAAGTAGCCATATATATATATATATATATATGAGATTAATCATAATTTTTCTTTTCAAATAAACAATAATATAAAGGAGATGGTTTTCAAGCATATCTCACACAATAAAGATAGTAGTAAAATATATTTTTAAAAGAAAATAGTATCTAGCATTTAAAATAGTCTAGTCATTTTTCGGCAACTAAAAGTGAATTTAGTAGCTAAATATGATGGTTTTCTACTAAAATTTAGTAGCTGGATAAGACCTTTGCTACCAAATTATTGATTTGGTAGTGATAAATAGTTTTTTTTCCTACCAAATAACATATAAGATAGCTGATTACGTCCAAATTGTGTATAAATAAAGCGGTCAATTGTAGCATAGTATGGGCGGTCGTATCTATGAGGAGATCACAAAAATAACCAGAAAAATTAACAGAAACAAACGTTAGAAGAAATAAGTGAAAAACACAGATAAAATATTTTCAGAACTTTTTTCTAATAAAAAATATGAAAATAAAGCAAAGAACAAATTTTTATAAGAAACCAAGTGAGAGAAAACTTAGACGAAAACCATATGATTAAAAATGGGCAAAGCGTCGAGAATCCCTTATATGCCGCGTTCACCAATTTAGATTTAGATTTTGATTAATTAACTCAATTAAAAATTTTACATCTCAAACAATCGACCGAAAGATAAAGAATTAAAGCACAATTAAAATAAATGTATTAGAGTATATTAAATTCCTATGATAAAACCCAACAGTTATTCTTATTAGAAATCTAAGAGCAACAATATACCACATGTAATATCGCAATAAAAGACTACTAATACAACAACGTGATCAATATAATTGTGTCGTGTAAAAATTACATAAAGAAAGCATGACTGAAAATATATAAAAATTGATAACACAAAAATATTGAATTGAAAACTGAGAATAATTAAAAATTAATCAACTTAAATGTATCAACGTTACAGCCCAACTCCGAAACCCAAACCGGGTCACCAAGCATATAAGATCATCTTTAGCCTAGTCAAGAAAAACACTAGCCTAACTTACAAAATATTCTCACAGATTCTAGAGAAAAAATATGAGAACAAAAACAAGATGAGAAAAAGTGAAGTGGCATAATCTTCTGGGTTTTAAAAACTTTCTACTACCGGTTTTTAGCTACCACAAATTTTGGGTAGCGAAAACCTTTTACTACTAAAATTAAGGGTTTTTGCTACCAATTCTTTGGTAGCGAAAGACCGAAATTCTTGTAGTATACTATAATATACTAGCTTTTGCGCTTCCACACATATTTATGCTTATCTTATTATGTTTTTCTTTTTTACACATTATATATGTGTTTGGAATTTCGTTGTCAATTCTTCTTGTGCATGATATCAAATGCACAGTAGTTCTTGTATATATAGGATCATAAATATTTGCATTAGTCAAGATATGAGATTTGCTTGAATTTCAATTTTATAAATTGTACATACAGCTACATTCCATCCACGATTAAGGGTGCTATAATTGTAACTAAACTGCTATTAATTAGTAATAAACTGGAAGCCATAATGGACGAAAACAGTCGCACAACAAACCAACAAGAAATAAAGGTAGAGTCAACTACTAAAGGGCTAAATGCCATATGGGATGGCATATATATATATATATTAAATAAGTTAATAATTTATTTGTGTTTTTTAAGTCTCCTGTGACAAATAATCAGTCTCCTTTCCTTTCTCACTATTTAACCAAAAAGTTATTCTATATAGCCACCTAAACTGGTAAACGTGATCCCGTTTGCTTCCGTACGTGCAATGCATCTTATTTCAACATTTATAGTGGTCAATATATATTAGAGAGACAAATATTTCACGGATATTAAAATAAAAGTACTGCAACTTGAGATGTGTTTTGGACCTACTTGTT